CCCAACCTGTCCCATGGTTCTGTGATGGAGCTCAGCTTATGCGCTTATGAAGGCGGCGTGGTTTAAACCCAGCTGGCAGCTAAGTGCGAATGCAGCCAAATCCACCCGTTCTGTACCGAGCCTGGTGGGCTGTGGTGTGGAATCTCCCTCTGGCTGGGATGTGGAGCACCCCTCTGGCTAGTGAGGGGCGCCTGGCCCGGCTGTGCCCCCCCTGGTGCCCCCCGTCACTGGCAGAGCCTGGGAGACTGGGAAGTCCTTGAGCAGGGTAAGCAGCGCTCATCAACAACCAGAACATCAGGGTGCTGTCAGTGGTGTTCTCAGAAGCCCAACCACAGCCCTGGACCAGCCACTAGGAAGAAAATTAACCGTGTCCCAGCCACGAGCAGCACAGAAAAGCTGTTCTTTTTGTTAGAATTTGCCTGTGTTTGCTGAGCATCAGGTGCTGGTGTCCTGACAGCTCCTAACACCCAGGTGTGCCAGTGGCCTAAACACAGCCCGCTGCGGGATACTCCCTGTCAGGGTCGTCTCCTTGGAAAGAATGTGGAAGCGTTTTACGCCTGTGAAGTTTTTGGCTGCTGGGTTGTTTTTCACCCTAATGGAGTTATGTCTGATATATATATTTATATAGAGATTTGTATCTGAGTCTGGTAACTGGAAACTGGGGCGTTTATGCATTTGAAGAGGAACTTTGACCCAAATTGCCTCTCGTTCCTGCAGCTGGAGCCGAGATGGTCACAAACTGGTGAGTGCTTCCACGGATAACATCGTGTCACAGTGGGATGTGCTCTCTGGAGACTGCGACCAGAGGTTTCGATTTCCTTCACCTATCTTGAAAGTTCAGTACCACCCCCGAGACCAGTAAGTGCTGTGAAAAAGGGGTTCAATGCTCTGGGTTTGGTAGAACTAATGACGATTAAAACGTTTTACTGCAGTTTGCAAAGGGATTTTTTTCCGTATTTAATGGAGGATTTTGGTGTTACCGTCGTGCAATTCCTTGTGGTTCTTTTTATTATGCAAATATCAGGACGGGAAGAGAGTAAACATGGGAACGGTCCTTGGAAGTGTAGGTAGAAATGTCTCCTTTATTTTGTTCTTGTCCAGAGCTCCTAACCCTTCTTTTCCTGCTCTGCAGAAACAGGGTTTTGGTGTGTCCCATGAAGTCAGCGCCGGTGATGCTGACGCTGTCAGACTCCAAACACGTTGTCCTGCCGGTGGATGATGATTCTGATCTCAACGTTGTGGCCTCCTTTGACAGGCGAGGGGAATACATTTACACAGGCAATGCCAAGGGGAAGGTGAGGCTCCAGCAGGTGGCACTGGATGCCGCAGCTTTGGTTAATTCCTGTCTTTAGCAAGATGTTTCATGTTTCTGGGTTGCATTCTTTGTTTTAATACCCAAATAAAGCTTCCTAAATGTCTCTGGAATAATCAGTAGTGCATTAATACGATCATACCAGTAACATCACAGTTTATCTTTGAAGCTCTTTAGGCTATTACCTGTATCTCAGGTCTTTTTGTTGCTTTTGACCATATTTGTTGGATCCTTTTCCAGTGTAAATAAACCAATGCTTATGTCGCAGAACTGTCGCAGGAACTGTAGTAGAACTACAGTTGCAGAATCCCAACTATTCCTGTGTAGATTGCTGAGGCTTCTGTTGTCAGGGTTAGTAGCTGGTGGAAGAGGTAGCAAAAGGGGATTGAAGTATAATGATGACACTGATTGCCTCCTGTCTCCTTCATCATCAGATCTTGGTCTTAAAAACAGACACTCAGGATCTCGTTGCTTCCTTCAGAGTGACAACTGGAACCAGCAACACCACAGCTATTAAATCGATTGAATTTGCTCGGAAAGGAAGGTGAGGTACTTCAGCTACCAAGTGGGAGCTTTGAAGATGAATTGACAACTACAGGGTAGCTTGACTCAGCGTACGAGATCTTAGTACCCCCACAGTTCTTACATGGAACGTAGAATCACAGAGTGGTTGGGGTTGGAAAGGACCTTAAGATCACTCAGTTCCAACCCCTTGCCATGAGCAGGGACATCTCACACCAGACCATGTCACCCAATGCTCTGTCCAGCCTGGCCTTGAACACTGCCAGGGATGGGGCATTTACCACTTCTCTGGGCACCTTGTGCCAGGACCTCAGCACCCTCACAGGGAAGAGCTTCTGCCTTATCTCCAACCTGAACTTCCCTGTTTCAGTTTGAACCCATCACCCTTTGTCCTATTGCTACAGTCCCTGATGAAGAGTCCCTCCCCAGCATCCTTGTAGCCCCCTTCAGACACTGGAAGGCTGCATAATCTTTCTATTTTTCAGTCTTTTAACGTGATGCATGTTCTGTGCCCTCCTTCCTGCAGCTGCTTCTTGATAAACACAGCTGACCGGATAATCAGGGTGTACGATGGCCGTGAGATTCTCACCTGTGGGCGTGATGGGGAGCCTGAACCCATGCAGAAGCTGCAGGATTTAGTGAACAGGTAAGAGGCAGCAGGGTGGCTGGTCAGCCTCACTGGCCACGGTCAGGTTTGTGTGCTCGGCACCAGTGGGAGCCTCTGGATGAAGGGTAGTTCAGTTTTTCAGTGTAACGGGCAGATGTTTTCATTTGAAACCTGTCACGGTTTGAAGTTTAAATACTAGTTGTGGATGGGAGAAGGCAAGATGAAGAACAAGCCCACTCTGCAGTCCTCCAGCCTCCCTCTGCTGTTGTCTGGGGTTTGACCTGCGTTGCTGTCTTTGCCTGCAGGACACCGTGGAAGAAGTGCTGTTTCTCCGGTGACGGTGAATATATAGTGGCCGGGTCAGCACGGCAGCATGCCCTGTACATCTGGGAGAAGAGCATTGGAAACCTGGTGAAAATCCTGCATGGGACCAGAGGGGAGCTGCTCTTGGATGTAGCAGTAAGAAAACTGACTGCTCTGACTGCGTTTCTTGTTAGTTTGAAAACTAAGCCTTTTTAATTCCATTTAGTTAAACTCTTCCTCTTTTCTCTTTCTAATAAATCCAGTGGCATCCTGTCCGACCCATCATCGCTTCTATTTCGAGTGGTGTTGTCTCAATATGGGCTCAGAATCAAGTGGTAAGTGTTTTAGACAGTTTCCTTAAGAGAATTCCCAAACCTAACCTGCAGTATTATGTATTAAACATAATCCAGTACTTATTATATGCTCCATCCCTGGCAGTGTTCAAGGTCAGGTTGGACAGAGCCTTGGGTGACATGGCCTAATGTGTCCCTGCGTGTGACAGGGGGTTGGAACTGGATGATCTTAAGGTCCTTTCCAACTCTTAACTATTCTATGATTACAACGTTGTATTTTCGGTAGGAACTAACTTGTGCACTTCCTAATCTGCTGTGTGACTGTGCACCTAAAGGAAACTTGATTTTATCGTGAGCTTGTGTGTGACATGGGGGATTTTAATGCAGCAAGAGACTGTAATTGTGTGTGTCCTCACTCTGGTTGTTGTTCCTTTGTGTAAGGTGAAAATCACTTTGACTTTGTGGTTTAGGAAAACTGGAGTGCCTTTGCACCTGACTTCAAAGAGCTGGATGAAAATGTGGAATATGAAGAGAGAGAGTCAGAGTTTGACATTGAGGATGAAGATAAGAGTGAACCAGAGCAGACAGGTACTGTGTAAACTGTGGGTTTAGGTAGCAAATGGTTTGTAGTCTGATGACATGTCCATGCCAGAAATGAAAACTAGTGCTCACAGTGATACAGTGGGTGTTAAACGACAACAGAAGTGGGTAAATGAAGACACATGAACTAACACAATCGATATAATTCAAGGCCAGGTTGGACACAGGGGCTTGGAGCAACCTGCTCTAGTGGAAGGTGTCCCTGTCCAGGGCAGGGGCTTGGAACTGCAGGAGCTTTAAGGTCCCTTCAACCCAAACCATCCCGTGATTCTATGAGCTTTTTAGAAATGCCACCCCTCTTTGATAGGTGTTTAACAGCAGAAAACAGTAGCAAATAGACACGGGAGGTTGTCCAGGCCTCCTCTCAGCACCAGCAATGCTGAAGTGGAAGCGATGGCCACACAACCTGGCCACTTGGTGGTGCCAGGAAGCTGTGTCCTGTGCAAGCCTGCCTCTAAACTATGGTCAGAGAGGACTGTTCCCAGCACACCACAGAGCTTTCCTCGTTACCAGGCTCTGCAGCTCTTCTCCCGTTCAGGTGAACTGCTGTTTGGCAGCCTCTGATGTTCCAGTGTAATGTTGGTGTGTGGGTATTAAGCATTCTTTCTCAGAAATTTGTCTTTTCCTTACTGTCTCGATTTCATCTTTTTGCCCTGGTTCTCAGGTGCTGATGCTGCAGAAGATGAAGAAGTGGATGTCACGAGTGTGGATCCCATTGCTGCCTTCTGTAGCAGGTGACAGACTCTTATGTTTAAAGTAGGAATACAAAACTTACCACTAATACTCCCTGCGTAATATGTTCGTATCACCCCTCGTTTTAATGAAAGCAAACGTTTTTCCTTCACAGTGATGAGGAACTGGAGGACTCCAAAGCTCTGCTTTACTTACCCATTGCTCCTGAAGTTGAAGATCCAGAAGAAAACCCCTATGGGCCTCCACCAGATGCGGTTCAGAGCTCTTTAGCCGATGAGGGAATAGGCTCTGAGAAGAAGAGACAGTGCTCCTCTGATGGACCCCAGGCACCAAAGAAGAAGCCCAAAACCACCAACATTGAACTACAAGGAGTACCTAATGATGGTGTGTAGCAGCTGCAATTGTTTTAGTGCCTGTTCTGCATCTGAGATGGCTTTTAGCTTTGTCTTAGCCTTGTCTGAAGAGCAGAAGTTCAAAAGGCCACTCGTTCCTTTGAAGTCACTTCTTGTAACAGTTACGAATAGCCACCCACTCTTGCTGGCAGTTTGCAAGCTAGGAAGAAGTAGGATATCCTGAAACTGTAGTTTCTACTGCTCTTTGTGTCTAATGGCACAGACTGTGTGTGCTGAGGTTTAATTCACATTGGTGCCACATTGTCTTTCCACAGAAGTCCATCCGCTGCTGGGTGTGAAGGGAGATGGTAAATCCAAGAAGAAGCAAGCAGGCAGGCCTAAAGGATCAAAAGGTAAAGACAAAGATTCTCCATTTAAACCGAAACTCTACAAAGGGGACAGAGGTGCTTTACCTCTGGAAGGAGCAGCGAAGGGTAAAGTGCAGGCGGAGCTGGGACAGCCGTTAACAGGTAAGGAACCCAGCGGGAGCGCCGTTGCCTTGCTTGGTGGCCTTGCTTTGTACAGACCCTCACTTAATATAGTCCTAGTTTTATCTTCCCAAATGGCACTTGCTCACTGAATGTTCAGCTGCTGTCAAGGAGAGGCAAAATTTTCCAGCACTGTTATAGTCTATAGGTCGAGCACTATTTCAAAGGCAAAACATCTTTTGATACCTTAATAACTTCTATCAGTTCTTCCAGAAACAGTAACAGGGTTTGGTTTTGGTGGGTTGACATTGAGAGGGGAAAAACGTAAAGAGTGAAGGCTTCTGAAGCTGAAGCTGACGTTTTGTGCCATCAGTGCTAGGCAGAATGGTGAGGAACAGCAAAGTTCTGTACGCAGCACTGGGAAATGGAGCACTGGTAACAGTCCCTGTGGTGAATGAACCCTGAGAGAAAATCCAGGAGCTGAATTTTCTTCTCCAGACTACACAGGACCTTATTTAAATGCCAGGCAGTGCAGTTGCTGTAAATGAGGGTGGGTTTTGGTGGACTAATCCTTTTCTCCTCTGGTCATATTTTGTTGATTGTGTACCAAACCAGGACTGTTGCAGTCACCTTTGTTGGGGCCCAGACTTAGTCTCTCTGAGACTGAGTGTTTCCCCTCAGTCTCATTTGCTACTTCAGTTTCTTAACTGGGAAAAGTCCATTTAAGCTCAGTGAAGAAAGCACATGTTTGGATGAAGTGATGTGGACTGCATTATTTATTGCTTTCAGGCTGTATTTAATAACTCAGGGTTGATACATACACAGTTTCCATGGCTTTGCTATATCCAGTTTTGCATTTCCTTGAACTCAGCAGCTGCTGCTGTGGATTTTAGACTGTACAGAAGTGATTTTATTCCCCCCTCTTCCTTCCCTCACTGCTGGTCCTATACTACCCACCTTGCTCATTGTCCTTCCTGCTCAGCTCCTGTCCCATTGCTTGTACTAGTATTGGCAATTGCTATTTGCAGAAAAAGGGGGATGGGATGGAAGCAACTTAATCTGTACATGGAAGAAATGGGGGGTGTGGGTGTGTTTTCTGGGTTCCCATTTAATCCTTTCACACTGGCCAAATCCAGAAATTTAACAGCCAGCCACGAATATCCTTAGACCTTGGCCATAGCCTGGGGTGTCCTCAGTAGCTTCCAGTGTTGGATTTACTGGACAGGGTGATTCTCTTCTGAAGTCCCAAGTCATTAGGGGCATCCAGTGTGATTGAAAGTGTGATAGTAAGGAATCACCTGGATTGTGGGGTCCTCGGGTGTCTCTGCTGGCATCTCTGACACATCCTGACTGCTCTGTTGTACATTGCTGGGTGAACAAGCCTGGTTTGAAGACCAAATGACCAAAACCATTAGTTTTAGCAGCAGCCCTGTTGGTGCCTTTCTTTCCTCAGGCTGCAAATTAGCATGTCCATATGCAAAAGGATATCAATGAGAAGGTGCACTGGAAACAGCAACGTGGCTTCCAAGAGGAAGTTCAGTCACCACAGTGTTGTGCCTCTTCTGTGGCTGAGTAGCTGTACAAGTACTGAACAAGCAGTCTGGTTTCAGAGAAGTAGTTCTAATAGCAAGTATTTTTGTGCAGCTTCTTCAAGGCAACTTTGTCATCAGCTTGTTTTACCTGTTTGCTTGAGCTGTGTTTGTAGGCAGGTCTCTACTTTCTTCTTGCAGCTTGTGATCACTGTTGCGTTGGTCTGTTCTGAGAGCTGGGAACATAATGCTCCCATTGCCTCAAGCACAGTCCAAATGAAGCAGCATGTTGCAGGCAGACTCCTTGCTTTGGTTTACATATCCCTGCAAAGCCATATGTGGGAGGATTTTCGTGTGCTCTGCCTGTAGTGCTACCCTGGAGTTGTTGTTGTAGAGTCTAACTTGCTACAAAAGGCAGGAGTGGAATTTTACTGCTGCTGAGTTTGGGATGTGCGTGGCCAGGCCAGGCCAGTGAGCTCTGGGGTTTGGGCGCTGTAGAATGGAAGTTTTCTCATGAACAAATGCAATTAAACCCACGTTCCCCACTTACTTCACCAGTCTAGATTTAGCCTGTGTTGCCTGGAAGCACTTGAAGGTGGTTTTCCATGGTGCTGTTCTTTGGCTTGATTGGGATGTAGGCAAAGAATCAAAATGATGGACTTCTATCTCTCGTTAGGACCTGTCATTGTGCTTCCCTCTCCGCTTCAGAGGATTTAGTAGATCCATGCAGTAGATCTCAGTAGTCAGTGTTGGAGACAGTCATGTCGCTGTAAGTCATGTTGTGAGAACAGATTGGCCCCTAAAGGAACTGTCACGTGAATCTTTCCAAACTCACAGTAGTCTTTTAGTGCATGAAGCTCCTGCCTGTCTTCCTTTGTTCCCCTGATGCCTTGCACTTACAATTCCTGTTCTGGGCAGCTAGCTTTCTCTTGGAGTTGCTGGTGTTCCACCACATGCAGATCCACACTTCCACGTTCAAGTGGCCACCTGGGATCCTGGAGCCAGGCTGCCTCTGCTGCCTCTCGTTCATGAAGCTGTTAATTCTGCTAGTTCCTTGGGCTGTTGTTTTCTGAAGTAACTAATCAGCTGCTAAAACAAGTCACACAGAAGCATTTCTGCTCTGATATGCCCTCATACAGTGTCTTGCTGCAAGCTGCCTGGCTGGGATGTGGAGCTTGGCACTGGTGCATCTCTGTCACTGTGCTGTGCAGTCTGGAATGTCTTCTTCAAGCTGCTGTGTCAAAATTGGGCTTCAAACAAACTGGGAAGCTCGATGCGTTTTGTAGCTGTAGAATAAAATCTTACAATTTTGGTTAAGCCAAACTTAGGTGGAACTTGTTTTCAGTCGGGCTTTTGCTCCCAGATTTTGGGGCTGTTGAGTCAAACTTGACACCAGGTAAGTTGGTTTGCAGCTTTGTGGAGTAAAAGCTCAAGAGTTTCTCAGCCACCTTGTCATAGACAGTATCTCATTCTGAAAAGAATGGCTTTATCTAAGAAATCTTGTTCTCCTTTACCTGGAAATGCTGCTGAATTTGGTGATCTCTGGTTTCTGGGAACATCTGTTGGAGGCTGGTTGCTCACTTTTGACCTGTCTTTGATCTCTTCAGCAGGTGGTGCAATCTCAGAATTGTTATGAAGACACTCCTTTAGCTTCCTGTATTCTTTCCTCTGTTGGCACCATAATGTGGAAACTAGATGAAATGCTCAGTCAGAGTGGACTGACTAATACAGCAGACTGATTGCTCGTGGATTCAGGGAGTGACTTTTGTATGAAATGACTATGGAAGAGGAAGCAGCCTTCATTCCTCCTTACCTGCCTCTGCATGGAACAGTGTAAGATGCTAACTCTCAGGTCATGTGATTTGCAAAGAGACTCGTTGGACTGCCTTTGTGTGACATGTAGAACTGTGTCTGAAGTGAGCTGGTACCCAACACTCTGCCCCTCCAGAGCTTATCGCCATTGTCTTTTAAATCCCCCCTTCGCTTTTGTTCCTGGATTGAAGAACACCCGAAGTGTGTATTTTTATTCCTGATGACTGTGTATCCTGCAAACATCCCTTTCTTCGCTGTTAATTCTCATGTCAGTGGGTTGTGAGTCCTTCCATGCCAGCTTCATCACCTTACCAGCTTTTTGGTTAGCTTGCTATGATGTCTTCTGTGCTGATGCTGCTGCTGATTATGTGCCAGGTTTGATTTCATCTCAGGTGAAGAATCAAGACACCCTCTGAAGTCTGCAGAGAATGAAGCTTCATATTGTGAATAGTTCAGACATGAAGGATGACCCTGCTAATGGGAGGAAGGAGCTCTAGATGAAATACTCAGCTGATACCCTCTCTTTTAGCCTGTGATATGAAAAGCAGCATTGGCAGTTTCTGTCCTTGCAAAAGTGGTTTTATTCTGTCCCTTTCCTGTGAGGTGCCCTTCCAGAAGCAATTGGTTTCCTCTTTAGCTGGTGGGAACTGGCAGACAGAGGAAAACCAGAACCCTGAACTGAAGCAGTAGTTTTTCAGGGCTTTTTTTCCCCCACTCCTGGATCAAGAACGGAAGATGAATGTTAACAGCTCATTCCCAGCCATGCTTTAACCATTTACTCCTTAAAGGTGGTTGGAAGATTTTCCTTGTGGGAATGGAAAGAGACACTTTGTCCAATACCGACAGCCTGACAGCTCTGTACCAGACAGACCAACTGGCTGGTAAAAGGTTTTCATTCCTAATGCCCCTTTATAGTTCCTATGCAGTTACTTAGAGTTTTCCCCCAGCTGTAATTATTGAGCTCATCACCATGTGTTGGAGTCGTCAGAGCATCCTGCAGACGTTAAAACCCAACAAGAGGAGTCAGGAAGAGATTGCTTCAGTTGCAGTCGGAAGGTACAGCAGTGGCAGGAGATACAAGCGTGGGGAGAGAGGAGACCTTTGAAATCAGGAGGGTTTTTAAAACTGGTGGTTTAATTTGTGGCTTTGGTGCAGTGGCTGCTTCACGTCATGAAATCCATGTGTATAGTAGGAGTTTTCTTTGTTCTTTCTGCTTGTAGGATGACTTGCATCTCCCCTGGAATACTATTATGTCAAATCCACCCCAGTGTGGTGTGGCTGACCCCACAAGCTTTAAAAGACGCACAGGCAGTGGTTCTCTGGTCTGTTCTAAAGCTATGATTTGCCACAGACTCCAGCCTCTGTTTCTGTTAAACCTTTGCTGTACAGTGTATATGTCCTTGGTTTCTTTTCCTCTATCTCCTATTTTATTTTTAGTATCTGTAGTTTTGTACGATATTTGCCAGATTCTGGCTTGGTGGTAGTCTGCAGCAGTGATGGTAGCTTTTGTGGTTGTAAATAAAGAGGTATGTTTCATTTCCTAAAGTCAACGGCTAAGTCTTGGCTTTTCCGTGCATCCCTGAGCATGTGTATGGGGCCGGTGGGTCGGAACCCTGGCGCTGAGCTCTGTGTGAACACGTGCTGTGCCTCCCCCTCAGCCGGTGTGCTCTGCTGGGGCACTGAGCGCTGTGTGGATGACAGTGGGATGCCTCGTGCTCAGTTTGCTGCAGTGGCAGCAGAGGAGTGGGTTCTGTTTGACACGTGCATCAGCTGCACACGGGGGTTTGGGGGTCGGTGCCTGTACGTGACCCCTCTGAGCGCTGCCCGGCAGCCGGTGCTGGTGAACCCCTTCGGAGTCAGGCAGTTGATGTCAAGAGCCTTTTATGTTGAGCTCTCATCTCGGAGGACTCACTTTGGCTTCCGAGGGAGGGGAGTTCTTTGTCTGGGGCCACATTCCGACCCAGGGCTGTGACATCAGCACTGTTCCCTTGGGAACGGGGAGATGGGGCTGCGCTGAGCCCTGTGCAGCGATGGGAATCGGCAGGGATAAAGTACTGCTCAGGCTGGCTTCCGTTGTCGGTGCCGTAAGATATCCAGAGGTTCCAGTGTTGGGTTTGTGATCTTTTGTGGTCATTTGGGGGGTACTTTAGGGTTTGGGATATGTGTATATAATCCAGCATAAGGATTCAGGATTTCCTTATGCCCAACAGTGTTTTAAAGGTTCCAGGGGTGATTGCTTGTATTGCTTTATAGTGTGGTGGGCGAGTTAAATTGGAACAGTACTTCTTTACAGTGGAAATAGACTCAGAATGGTTTGGGTTGGAAGGGACCTTCAAGATCATGTGAAATAGACTGTAAAAGTCTTGCAGAGAAGGGGGGACTTCAGCTTTAAGTTGTCAACTGTATCCAAATTGCTGGAATGTGGTGGATTCAAACATCCTGCTGCCCTGTTCCCACAACTGGGATTCGTGATCCACGTTCTGTCCAATACAGTAACGTGCTTCATCTCTTTTAGCAGCGTTCTGCTTCGAGCCTGCCTCGTTGGAGGATTTTTCCTGATGGAAGGATTAGGTCTTGAAGGTGGCGCTGGTGGCATTTCAGAAATACCAAGTCCGAGGACTTCCAAAGATCGCCTCTGTGGTGACACACCTGATTGATAACCCCAACATGGAGACGCTGGGGACCAGCCACGTCCTTGGGCTCCTCCTTTGTGCTTTCCACCTGCCTTTGGTGGCTTCCTTTGAAGGAGTTACCATCCCCGCAGAGCTGAAGTCCATCGAGGCCAGGGTTGTGGTGAACACCACGTCGTGCAGCGTCACCTGCGGGCTGGGCTTCAGGCTGGAGGAGCTGTGCGAGGTGAGCGCGGCCGGCGAGAGGAA